ATCGCGAACTTTCACCTAACTGATAACCGAGCATGTTTTTTTTTTGCATCTATATTTCTTTTCGTATGTAAATTGAAGGGGCTTAAGCTGGATTAGGAGACAATAATTCATTTTACGTAAGCATCCATATATTTCCCTCTGAATTCTTATCTCCTTTATCCAATGTGCAAGTTGTCTGAAAATGTTGCACTATTATTAGACTAGTCGGTGTAGATGCCATTTTCATTGTTGGGACATTCTCAAATATTTTTCCATGGAACTTTCCCTCGAACACTATGTGAGGACTTTAATCTAGAAACATTTTAATCATGACACTGAACTTTTCAGTGGGTGTAATACAGATAATTCCCCCTGTGACATCAAGTCCTGACATTTTATTAAGGTTCATGTCAGTCTCTTTGTGTCCTGTGTAGTCCGGCACAGATGCCACAACTTCTAAAGATGAGATTCTCTCCACACTTGTGGGGAGGATGACTATTCACCTTTGGCGGAATGACAGCTTATCATTGTACCCTGAGATTCATAAGGAACGGCAGCACCTTGACCCCTCATTGTGAGCTATATGCTCGAATGGGATGGCTTTCCTTGACCACCAGCAGGCTGCATCATTGGTATTGCTGCATAAATGAGGTCATTCTTGTTAACCTTCCAATGTATCTGTGTCGAACAAGGCAAACCAGCAGTGGGCAATACTTTTGCGTTTCTATGAACGGTACATACTGTTATTTCCAAATGCCCGCACAGAACTTAGTGAAAAAGGCATGGAGCACTACAGAATGCCTCGCAGCTTGACAGCTTGATCTCACTGAACGCGTTTAAAGTTAGATTGCTGGTCCTAGAGATGGCTTCATTTAATGATCCCTGTTTTCGATTCAGTCTTATGTAACCTTTTCAGATTGTGGTGTTGCAGGCAATTATTTTTAAAATATTATTAGTGGATGTTATTTATAAGTAAATTGAGGAACCTTTTTTGTTTTTTGCTGCTGTCAATCTTTGCAAGGTCTTCCTTGAAAAATATATATTTAATCTGAGTAGTGATTTCCTGGTTAAATAAGAGTTAGATGAAGAGATAGAAATAAAAAAAATACGCCTGACCAAATTAAGTAGTTGCAGACATGATATCAATACATTACTCTGCAATACACTGAGCTTGTGTATGACTACAGAGCTGTAGTACATAAATATGATGATAACTGGAAGAATACTGAACATTTTGAAAAGAAAAAAGTAAATGCAGATGCCTTTGAGCAAGGCATGTTATATTTATCAAAGAGCAACTCACTCATTTGGGGGCACCCTGCAGCACGCCTGCCCTTTCACTTGGCAACCCTGACATGTGTCAGGGTGTTCTGAGCGTTGCTCAGAATATGGAACAGATTTGTGCTCGGAAAGAGTGTTACATCTCAATCTACGGGATGATCTATTTAAAAGGAATTCAGCCTTCATCTGACTGGTACATTTGATAAGGAACAAAAAGATTATTACTTTCCATTATTTTTCGAACAGCAGCTCCTAACTTTGTCCACCATCATAGAGGATCTACAACAGTAAAATGTGATATTCACATTTTCACGGCGAGACCGAATGGTGTGGTTGTAATTACTGTTGCTTCATAATGAGTAGGTTTCAGTTTAAATTGCAGACTGAGATCTTTTTGTGTGAAGTTTAGATGTAATCCTCATGTCTGTTTAGGTGCCCTATTAGATTCAATAGAACTTTAGTGCCTCTGCACATAAGTAAAGACGGCAAAATGTCGTATTGCAGCTTCCTCCCACCGTCCAAAGACATTCAGGTTAGGGTAATTGGTTATTCTAAATTGTCCAGGGATTGACTGGCAACACATTCAGAGTGTATTCCACCTGTCGCCCAATGGCGGTTGACTTAGGCTCCATATGTCTGCAACTCTGAACTAAGCAAATGGATGGATATTTTCATACAGTAAGCTTGTGTACTTGCATCTCTCATTTTTATTATGTAATAGAAATATAGCCGGAAACTCTGTAATCCCAACAGACTAAATGGACTAAAATCGTTTCACACACTAAATCCAACAAGCTTATTTGCATCATTATATGGATGCATATCTGTTTTAATGCCGCCATGAAAATGTATAATTTAAGCCGAACTGTGTTAACTTTTTCCAAAGAGCAGAAAGATGATACTATAATGAGCTATGGCATTGCTCATTCTGATACACATTTAACTCTTATAATTACCTTATGGGCATTATTACAAGCCTCCTTCCTGTACTTGAGTGGGTGGGAGAAACTCTGTGGCCCTGTGTTCCAAATGCTTGTGCTTGCAGGCTTTGCTGCAGTGTGCCGACACAGGAGCTTACTTGAAAGATAAAAGTCGGTCAAACACACTAAACATCTGAGCATGCAGAGTGGGACACAGCTTTGTTAGACATGGAGGAAAAGGTCAGGCAGTGGTTAATGGTGTGGTGAGCAGCAGTGCAGAGAAGAAGAGAGGTCTGAGGACTTGAGGTGACTACATAATACTTCTGCTATAATCTCACAATAGATAGATAGATAGATAGATAGATAGATAGATAGATAGATAGATAGATAGATAGATAGATAGATAGATAGATAGATAGATAGATAGATAGATAGATAGATAGATAGATAGATAG